CAAGACAGTTTCCGATTTTCCTACGATTTCAACTTCACAAAGAAGGATATCATACCCAAAAGATTGACCCAACTTCACGATGAATGAGTCATCTATGACATAGCAATGAAAAACCTATTTTATTCAGGTCAAATTTTAGCTTCACAACAAAGTATATTGGGCTAGAAGACAATCCATGAGCAACTTCCCAATGCTTTGAGCTCGGTTTCAACATCACAACGAGGGTTATCGCGTTGAAGAGGTCCACGATTTTAACTTCACGACGAAGGATATCGTGCTCAGGATTTTACAATTCAACTCCACTTTACAACGAAGAAGTCACCCACGATTTCAACTTCATGAAGAAGGATATTGTGCTCAATGGATCAACTTAGTGTCACAACAAACACTATCAAGTCTCAAATCAAAGAGAACCAGACAAAAACTTGTTTTCTTTTTCATCTTTGCCCTATTCTTGTTAACATAAAAATATGCAAAGAGGGGCAGCTATAGACACCCGTTTTTATCCGGGCCTACAAAAATTTTATATTATATTATTATTATTAATTTATATATTATAATTATTTTACAGGCCTCAATCTTGAATGTGTGGTAACACGAGGTCGTACGTGGATGGTACAACAACATATCAGGAGTGGGCCATCAAGTCCGGGGTAAGTGGAGGCCAATTTTCATCCAACTTATCCACGTTCCTTTAACCAGTTTCCAATGTTTCCTATATATTTACGTTATTTCTAAACCTTTAAGGGGAGTCTCTGAATGCTCGGGGAAAAGGGAGATGGTTCATAGTTTGTAGTATAATTTTACTTGCAGTTGGAGTCCACTATCCCCGTAATTTTTCTTCTCTCTGCCATTTTTTTTTTGCTCAAAACTTCCCAAACCTCCATTTTTTTTCCTTCACTTATTCTTAAAAAATTTACATTTTTTCCTTACTCCGTGCTCTCTCCAAAAAGCAAGATGCCCGTACTCATGGTGCTAATAAACAAATCATTAGACCAGGTAGCTCTTTCCATTCACCTTCACCAGTAACTTGAATGCCTCCTACTTCGATTTCTGCCACGAAAGCGTTCCAAACATAAGAAGCTCGTATCCAAATATTTCATGCAAGTGCTCTTGGACCTTGGCATGCAATAATTGCCTATGATGCATGTGTTCGGCTTTGCCTGCATGCTTGGGCAAGGGATTGATGGAAGCTCCTACGTTTCATGAAAATGAATTTGCTCTTTTACGAGATACTTTTGGATTACAACAAGTTTTGTAAAAATCAGATGAGAAACTAATGGAAAAACGTTCTTTCGAGCTTACCAATGAGGCAGCTGCCCCAGAACCTAAGAAAATTGTTGGCAAGATGAAGGGCAAGTACGTAAAGTCAAAACAACCCTGGATCCACCACTACCACATGCATACAGCCGTAAATAAATTAGGGAGAAAGCAAAAACGGGGGAATGGCCATTTCCACGGAGAGGCGGAATGATTTGCTGCAAGAATTGGTGGCTACTCTGAAAGATATGCTAAGGAACACAAAGATTGATGTTCATTTTTTCATGGTGCTTCGGCCATGATTCCTTCACTCAAACACCGGATGCGCTTCAAATGCGACAGCACCATCCCAGGCTCCAGGAGCAACAACGGAAAGAGGTTTCAATGCTCAACCAACTGCTGCAACCATGTAGATTGAAGACTTGGAACAACTTCTCCATTAAACAGAAAATCTCCGCTCCCAGGCGCTAAATTTTCAGCAGTAAGGAACCCAGATGAAAAAAAGGATGTGGTTACAGGACATGAAGATAAAACTGATAGATCTTGGAATCCTGATTGCTTTGATTCTCATCATCGTACTTTCCGTTTGCCATGGCTTCAAATGTTGATTCACTTGCTCATCCACTCTACATTCTGATGTCGTCTCATAGATCAGAATTGTTGTAGTAACAAGTAATGTATGATGCTCCAACTTCTTCTAGTTAAAGATTTTTTTTGAACTACATTTGCTTCATATTATAGCCTATATCAGAAGACTGCGCGCATGTATAATATAAGTTTGTATTTTAGTATTCTTTTGAGCAATATGTTGATGTGTGGATATATATATGTAGGTGTTCATAAATTTTCAAGTTATTATATTATTGAGCCATGTTATAGCCTCTTTAATTTATTTAGTATTTATTTTTTTAATCTAACATTTTTTACTTTTTTAGGGACAATTTTAACTAATCAAAGGTAAATAATTTGATTCGAGTATTTAAATTTAAATTTGAATTTTCGCAATTAATAAAACCGACAAATTAAATGGTACCGAAAGGGCAGTTCAAGGGTATTAATCATTCTTTGACTGTAACTGACTCCCGAATCCGACACATTTCTGGTAAAACGCAGATCAGGTAAGATGGTGTTCAATCAGCCTAAATATATTTTTAAAATGATCGATGGTGACTCTAATCCATTTTTTAAGTTGAAGCCCAATTCTAGGCCCACTCGGAAGACGGTCGTGACATAGGGTAATCGACTAGTACCAATTTCGAGGCGTTGTAGGGGAGCTAACTCTTCCCTAGCGTAACCGATTCTCGAACCTGTTTTCTAGGCTTTGCAAACCCAAATTTGGTATTTTGATAATATAAAATGTTTTATTAAAACTAAAATATTGTTTTGATATTCCAATCGCACCATAAAAAATGATTGGTGGCAACTCCTAACATTTCATTTAAAATTCATTTCAAAAACCTCATCGTTGTAACTAGTCGACTTTTCCCCGAAAGGTCTGTTGCGACAATAATCATTGCATTTATTTATCTAAAGTTGTGCGATAAACAATAATTTTATTAACGGAAGATTACCGGGCCTTTAAGATAAAAAGAAAATATAGAAATATTTATAAGTATCGAAATTAAACCTCCGAATAAGGTCAATATACTCATTTTTAATAAATATAAATATAAGAACATTTCCTTTTCTCCCCTCTTGATTGATTTTAAAAGTTATTATTCACTACAGCAAAAATGGTTTTTAGCGGCGGATGTAGCGCCGTTTTTACTGCAAACGCCGGTAATTGTTTACATATAGCGGTGTTTTTGAACAAACGCCGCAAAATACTATATTTTAGTGGCGTTTGTATAAAAACGCCGCTAAAGAATCGAAATGTAGTGACATTTTTATACAAACGCCACTATAAACTAGTATTTTAGTGGCGTTTTTATATGAACGCCGCTATAGACACGTACTTTTGTGGCGTTTTAATACCAAACGCCTCTATAGACTCATACTTTAGTGGCATTTTTACATAAACGCCGCTATAGACACGTACTTTTGTGGCGTTTTAATACCAAACGCCGCTATAGATTCGTACTTTAGTGGCGTTTTTACACAAACGCCGCTATAGACACGTACTTTTGTGGCGTTTTAATACCAAATGCCACTATAGACTCGTTCTTTAGTGGCGTTTTTATACAAACGCCGCTATAGACTCGTACTTTAGTGGCGTTTTAATACCAAACGCCGTAATTGTCATATAACCTAGTGGCATTTACGTAAAAAAACGCTGCTACTGAACACTACTTTAACATATCGAAACAAAACTCTAATTCCATAGATTCAGTCTGGGCATCGAAATACATCTCCCCTCCCTTTTATCTCTTCGCATCCACTCTCATCCTTTGATCCTTCGACCTCCATTGTTCGATCCATTTTCCCCTTACATTCAACCCAAATATCTCCATTCTTTTCATTCCCCTCTTTCATTTCTTCCTTTTCGTTCTGTCTTTTTCAATTTTTTTATTTCAGTAATTCCTTCTAGGATTTTTTTGTGTGATTGATCATGTCGAAGGATCCTTATCTGTGTATGTTTAAAATTTCTATCAAATCTACATTGTTCAGTCGAAAGAATCATGTTTTTCTTCTGCTCTTAGGGTTGTTTTGGTGATTTCTCGATTAAATTGGCTTATTCTAATGCTTGTTCTTGGATTAAGGGAATTAGATTCGGTTGAAATGTGCTGTCTGGATGTATGTGCTATTATTCAGGGAAATAGAATACAATTTTTTTTCTTCTCTTTTAACCTGAAACTCGGGCTTTTCAGAAATATTTTTCAAAAGGTGGAGGCGTCGGTTATAGTCTCTTTTCTATTTTCATATAAAGATATAATCCTTGAAATTCTATGTTATTTCTGAATCTATCTTTCCAAGGTATTTTCTTTTCCTAATTTCTGCAAGCTTAGGGGTTTATTTTGTTTACTAAATGTGAAAGTTCTGCGTATTTTTAAAGGTTTGAAAAATCAAATGGGAGTGAAGGTAGAACACTGATGTCACTGTTTTGGATTGTGATTCGTCGACTAACTGAAATCGAAGAAAGAATGGTATTTTTCTTTTATTATTATGATTAATTTTGATTTGATAATCAGGGATAATTTGATTGTTTACTTTGTTTAAGAATTTGAAGTTGTAATTTGTAGCTCAAACGTCAATTCAAAGCTATACATATCAATATGCAAAGATTTTCCGTATTGGATTTGGTAAATTTGGTTGCGACAAAGAATTGATTTTTCTGTGATTGAAATCTAGAAAACACGGGGTGTTAGTCTACTCTTTATCTATGAATTATTTCTATTTTGAGTAGAATATAATATGTTACCTTCAACATACCAACACAGCTATACTGATCATTGAATCAAAGCCTAGGAAATAAGCAAGAATAACAGAAGCAAAAATCAATAGAGACAGTATCATGTAGTATATTTTATTCTACAAAACACATAAGCAAAAGGGTTTGAATAACTAGAAATTACCGGTTTGACATGAGCGACTGGTGGAGGATTTGTAGTCCTCAATTTCTCAACAGATTGATAATTACCTTCCTAACATTCTTCGTGCATAATCATTAACTTCTCTGCCACCTGTAACAAGTCGTTTTTTTGGTGTACCGGTAGGGGGAAGTTTGAAATTTGAGGTTATTGGCTTATAACTATGACAACAATTCAAGCTGATTCTTAACTCAGTTTTTGTAACACAATTTGTAGGTCAAGGATTTGACGGGAAAACTTCAAGAAATGACAAATTTTTGTATTGGTAAGCATGACATAAAGATTTTGTTAGTTGAGTATTTATCATCTCTTTTAAAAAATTTATTAATAATCTATGTATATCATTTATGATATTGATCTCTAAAAGCCTCCCATTATAATATCGGGAGTTCTCACAGGTTTTCTTATTCGCAGAAATTGACACCGACTCCTTGCTAAAAAATGAGTTGGCAACTCTAGATGAGACTTTGAGAACTGCCAATAATGTTGTTATACTTGCCATAAATGCCATATCAGTTGTCATAAGTGTCAGCATTTCTTTTGCCTTGTTGGGTTGGCTCTGAATTTTATGCCATGCTTATATCATTGGTAAGCTCTGGGAATTCTCCAGGAGATGCAAAGAAAACTCATTGATGCAGTTCGTGATAATATTAAGGTGTTTGGAGTTTCAGAAGTTATAAATGTGAGTTGACCTGACATTGCATTTTGTTCTAGTTACTACCCATGAGTTTATTATTACTCAACCATTTATATTCTGTTCCTAAACTACCTTTTTTCATTATCCTTTGGATCTGCTACTGACACTTTTTTTCTCGACATCGGTTGAAATTTGAGGGACTTAGACATGCATGTTTTCTTGATCCAAAATTATAAGATTTCATTGCTTATCCCTCTTTTGTATTTCCTTAACTTATCTAAGAATACAAACTTGCTCAGATTATTGGGAAGTACAAAGATGTAAAACTTAGATTTGGAGCTGGTTACAGCATCAGAACTTAAATTTCGCAAGCTATGCATGACTGCCCTTTTATTGGTGCAGGGGTAAAGGTATTATTAAGAAAATTTTAATGCAGATGTGACATAAGTTTCATTTGAAATGTTGAGATATATGTGCATGCATGACTTTTTACTTTATGTTGTTTAAGTGCTCCTTCACCCTATTTCCTTGTCGGTTCAAACTTCAAACATAAATGTTTTTCCGATTTACTTTGTATGGGGCAACCTACTCCTTTTATTTGTTGCATGTGTCACATTAAAGTTTTGACCATTTCATTTTTGGACGTAGGAACTCGATGGCATAGTTATATGTGTGTTGCAAGTTCTAATGTTATCAGCGATGACGATTTGCAAGCCTTTTTACGTACATTCCGTCAAACTACAGTACATAAAGGACATTTATATCTATTTCATGATCCTAAGCTGGAGCCCAACCTTCTAGTCACAACAGTTGTTATCTTGGGGTAAGAATTCTAACTTCTAAAAGTAAGATGGCAACCAATACATTATTAAATTTTTTCTTTATGATGACATTTTTTACATTCTTATGTAGAATATATTTTAGTTTTCATGGTTCCTGTTGTTTTGTTGTTTGTTGCAACATCTTTTTCAGTTCTCAATCACTCACATGTAGGTTATGAATGGAAGTTCTGCTGGTTGTTTCCTTCTCTTCTTAGTCTCATCTAATTATTGTAATTGCAGTATCTTGAAGAACAAACTTCAACAAAAGCGGCTTCTTCAATAGACTGGCACAACGTTTCCCATTTGTTTTTAATCTATTGAGGAGAGATCATTCACTGTCAAATGATACTTTCAAATAATATGTCAAGATATATGACAAATTCCAATGAAGTGGGAAACAAAGTAGCTTTAGAAGGCATATTTGGAGGTTATGATGATGACGCTAGTGAAATTGAGGATGTATCGAACAACAAATCCATGTATATCTACACTTTGAGGTTTAGTTGTAACTCATTTGTACTTTAATGTCTTTTAAGGTTCTCTCTCCATAAAAAAAACCTTAATTTATTTTGTTGTTAAGTATTTTTCTTTATGTTTTGTGTCTTAATTAAAATGTATGGTTGTTGTTAATTAGATAAACCTAGATATAAATTTAGGTGATGTATAGCAGAAATGAAATATGCAAAATCAATTAATATTAGCTAAAGAAAGGTAATTAGCGGCGTTTATATCCAAAAACGCCGCTATAGGTCTGACTTTTTGCGGCGTTTGTGTTCAAAAACGCCGTTATAGGTCTGACCTTTTGCATCGTTTGTTCTAAAAACGCCAGTATAGGTCTGCTCTTTTGCGGCGTTTGTATCCAAAAACGCCACTATAGATTTGACATTTTGGCGTTTTTTCTAGAAACGTCGCTATATATCATAACTTTTTGCGGCGTTTGTTCCAAAAACGCCGCTATAGATATCGACCTTTTGCGGCGTTTGTTCAAAAAATGCCGTAATAGATATTGACCTATTGCGGCGTTTTTTGTTCTCAAACGCCGCTAACTTTAGCGACGCTGGTATTGTCGGCGCTTCTTGCGGCGTTTTTCCTATCGCCGCAAATACTTTTAGCAGCGCTTAAAAACGCCGCTATAAGACTAAAAAACGCCGCTAAAACTTTATTTTGCTGTAGTGATTTTTTATTCATTTTACTAGAGGGTACTCATTCACTTTAAATTACCGAATTTAACCACCAAGGTAAATTAGGATAGCTCGCTTCGATAATTTAAACTAAACATGTATTATCTTTTAATTTATTATGAATATGGTTAAGTGATGCGGATGGGGCTATCATACTTGCATTAAAATCACGACATGAAATCATAAGATAGAATAAACCAATCAATAAAAAGTAACCACGCTTACAAACATTGTCATGCCAACAATCAATTTGAGAACAATTTATTTAAACTAACCATGTCCAAATTATCAAATTAATTAATCATGTAAAAATTTTAAAAAAACTTTGTGGACAAATGTCATTTACAATTAACTTGTAATTAATAATTACTCCTAAAAATAAACGTAAAAACTCATAATATACTTAAAATGAATTAATAATTAATCATAAGAGATAATAAACATAAAATCAAGAGTTTAATTGTATTAAAAAATTACAGGGGCTAATTCGAGGTTTTTAGTGACTAAAATGAATTACACATCAAAATAATAGAGACTGCAGAAATAGTTAAACTATTAACTAGTTACACCCGTGCCCCTCTTTTAAATAGCCATACTTTTTTTTTCCTTTTTTTTTTCATTTATAACTTTTCCTACAAAAAAACTCCTCTAAAATCCTCTCTACCTATCCCCTTGCCGGTGAGCCTCAATCCAGATTCTGTGCTTTCCACCAGGAAACCTACTCTGAGCTCCACTCCGACCACCAACCATACCCTATTTGAACCGTCTCTTAGTCCTAAACTCGTTTCTAGTCTCAAAATCTTCTAAAACAATCATGCAAACATAGATCTAAAGAAATATGTGTAATACCCTATTCTAGTCCGACCCAAAATCAATGGATCATGATGTCACGAGGGACCAACAAAGTGGCTAACCCAAAATATTTCTTTAAAACAATTGTAAAATAACATATAAAATCCATCCCATGTAAAATAAATAAAACCCTCGCCGGTGAGCCTCAATCCAGATTCTGTGGCTTTCCACCAGGAAACCTACTCCGAGCTCCACTCCGACCACCAACCATACCCTATTCGAACCGTCTCTTAGTCCTAAACTCGTTTCTAGTCTCAAAATCTTCTAAAACAATCATGCAAACATAGATCTAAAGAAATATGTGTAATACCCTATTCTAGTCCGACCCAAAATCAATGGATCATGATGTCACGAGGGACCAACAAAGTGGCTAACCCAAAATATTTCTTTAAAACAATTGTAAAATAACATATAAAATCCATCCCATGTAAAATAAAATAAAATGTGATAATTCAAAGTTTAAAAAATATGGGAAGCTCCCAAATAATTCAGAATAAATACACTGAGTTTAAAATCGAAATAGAGTTACATCTGAATACAAAGGGTTTACAATAGTGCATACCCTCTAAACTAAATCAAGACGTACTCTGGTGCCTCGACTATGCTGGAATATCTACTGAAGATAACGCTCTGCTTTCACTAAATGTGCATGCTAGAGGCATAGGTATGAAGCCATGAAATACTTATTTAATATGTTGAGGTAGGTATCATGGTGCGGTTGAGGGTTCTGTATCTTAGAGCTCTCACACCCCTCTAAACTTCCTACATATCCTTAGGTATTTAGGGTGAGATCCGAGTTGCATCGGAAATGTACACCTGGCCAACTTACTTCATCGAGTCTTGGGGCATCTGCGCCCAACTGGCGGCTAAGTATCTTGGCATCAACGGGGATATCTGAACTGTACGATCGTATCTGCTAAAGTAAATCGAGTGTCTTAACGTCTTAAGTATCTTGGCATCAACGGGGATATCTGAACTGTACGATCGTATCTGCTAAAGTAAATCGAGTGTCTTAACTACGTCTTGAGCATTAAACAAGACTAGTTTTATGTTATCCTAGTTGTTTTTGTTTCTAACTATTTTGAGTTTATTTCTGTTCTCACTTATAGTTTTATTTCATGACGTTATGGTGTTATTGGGTCCCTCAATTCCAACCCTTAAAACCCTTAGGTTTTTTACCCAAAATTATTTGTAGGTACCGATTCTACGCTCTACAGTATAGGTATTGGCCTCTAGGTATTGATATTATTAACTTATTAAAGGCTGATAACAAAGGGTTGGTATCGATACTCTTTCTTGAGTATCGATACTTCCCTGAGTATTGATACTAAATTTGGCTTCGATGTTTTAAAAATGCCTAAGTATCGACACTTCTTTTGGGGAGTATCGATACTCTTTCCTTGGTATCGATGCTCACATGAGTATCGATATAAAAAAGAGAAAATCGCCTCAGTGACCAAAAAAAAGTTATAATATACGATTTTAACCAACTTTTTTTGGATTTGCCAAAATGACCAACAAAATCGCAACGCGAAATAAAAATCGCAACGCGATCCCCAGAATCGCAAATCAGTTTCCAAAATCGCAACGCGATTCTTGAAAATCGCGATGCGATAGTACAAATTCGCATTGCGATTTTCAATAATCGCAACGCGAATATGAAAATCGCAACGCGAACACATAAATCGCAACGCGTATCGTAAATCGCAACGTGTATCCGTAATCGCAACGCGTATGGGTAAATCGCAATGCGTATCCGTATCGCAACGCGTATCCGTAAATCGCAACGATAATACATAAAATCGCAACGCGTATCCGTAAATCGCAACGCGATATTTAAAGCGCCATTATAATCGCTCGCGTATTTTATTTTCAAATTACAAAAAGAATATTAAGACAAAATCCCGTAATCGCAACTCTAACCTAAAACCTAAAATCACAACTCAGTCCCATCTCCATCTCTCACTCTCTACGGCGAAGAAATCCGTCCCCTCTCCGAAGATTCCGTCCCCATCTCCGGCGAAATCCCTCACAACCATTCACGGTCAGAAATCCCTCACAATATTCAGAAATGGAAAATCAACCTCCGAGGGTTAGTTTTTTTAATTATTTTTATTTTGAAATGTTTGCATTATTGTAGGTTTTTCATATTGAAACTGA